ACTGCAGGACGACTGGTTGCTATGATGACCACCAGGGGGCAGATGCTCAATGCAGGAGCTGCCCCCAACTTGCAGGCCCCAGGCCAGCCATGGCAGGTACCAGCAGGGACACCACTAGTCGCCCCATAGAGGGAGTCAACCGGTGGTAGTGGCGGGGGCAGGGCCAGCAAGAGGGTGGCGCCTGGTCACCCAAGGCAGGTGCCAGCAGGGGCCCCCAATGTCCCCACCGGGCCCCCCCGATAGGCCCTGATCACCGGCCAGGCCTAGGGACCTTACCCATGCATGAATTTCGTTCATTAGGCTTCTAGTCTATATAATGAAAGCCTAAGCGACCGGTACAGCGGAACGACCAGAACCATCGGTCGCTATGATATGCACTGAGTACCAGGGGGCAGACGCTCAATGCAGGAGCTGCCCCCTGGTGGTCAGTGCACTCCCACAGGGGGAGCGCTGCTCAGCCAGAAGCTGGGCTCATGGCTGGCAAGTGCAGTGGCGGTGGCAGGAGCCTCACCTACCTTCATGGCAGTGCTAAGGAGCAGTGAGCCGATCGGTAAGGAGCCTGCCGCTAAGGAGCAGCAAGTCGAGTGGTAAGGAGCAAGCAGGTGGGTGGTAAGGAAGGAGGGATCCTGGATTATGTGAGGGCTGTCCGCCTGCCGGCATGTGGACATCCCCTGAGTGGTCCCGGACTACAAGAGGTTGCATGCCAGGCTGAGGGACCTCCCTGCCCCCTACCCGCCTCCAGTGCCCAAATTTTGTGCACTGGGCCTCTAGTGTTATTATAGATACTAAAATACAGATATACTCAGTTAAAGTAAAGGTTTACCTTCTCAGGGAAGATACTGGCCTAGGATGTAACTACCCAACATAATTCCTTTTAGTTAAAGTTTAATTTCAGACCATCTTTTGTGGTTACTTTAGGTTTCTGAGTCTGCAAGACTGCCATGCAGACCTTCCCTGACAATGGGGTAATGTCAGGTTAGCATTTGGCCCCATTTATCCACAGTCCCAACTGGTAATAAAGACACATTACCCTATTCATACATTGTTGGATTGAATTTGCTAAGATTTTGTTAAGAATGGTTACATTTACTTTCATGAGGGAGATCAATTTGTACTTTCCTTACGTCTTTGTGAGGTTTTATTACGATTGTGGCCTAATTCATTAAAATGAGGTGGAAAGTAATATCTCTTCAGTTTTCTGAAATAATATTTGCAGAATCCACATTATTTTATTCTTATACTAGTGGCCCGGTGCACAAAATTCATGCACATTAAAAGGGAATTAGAGGAAATATTTTAATATTGCTATTTGCCCTTTCTCTATAATAGAATTGTCAGAGATGAAAGAAAATTAGTAAAATGCATATGAAAATCTTCCTCCTGTCAGAGTCTGGGGTGCACCACAGGACCCAGAGTCAAGTTCCCGCCCATTCATGTGCACCTCGAAATCACATGAGACCCAGACCCAGCCGGCCCCACCCCCGTTGGGCTAGATCCAGATCCGGTTGGTCCCACCCTTGTCAAGCCCCGCTGGGCAGGGTCACAGCCTCAGGTTCCCTAGCCCAGCGCCGGGGCGGGGGTCACAGCCTGAAGTCCCCCAGCCCGGGCTGTGGTGGGTGGCGCTCCTTGAGGTCCCCCATCAAGCCCCGCTGGGAGGAGGGTGCAGCCTCAGGTCCCCCGTCAAGCCCTGCTGGGCGGGGGGGAATGGCCTGAGGTCCCCTGTTAAGCCCCAAGGGGAGGGGGTGGTGTCGGAAGGGCACAGCCTCAGGTCCCTGCTGATTGCTTGTTAAGGCTCGTTATGGATTCTGGATGTCCTGGTTGGTGTGCCCTGCCTGTGGTCTAGGCTTCTTTTCTCTCCCAGGAAGCCTTCCTCACCCTAGGACTGCCACTCCCGAAAGCTAGGCCAGCTCCTCTCATAACCCCGCCCTTTCTACCAGTCTCAAGTGGTTTCTGCCCTTGCATGTTTAAAAATCTCTTCAGCCAGTTTTCAGGTGACATTTTAGGGTGAATATTCCCCAATTTAGTACTAATTCCAGTTAGATTCTAGGAAGAAGTGGAAAGATTGGCTTACTCCACCACCATCTTCCAACGCCCCTTTTAAAGTGAATTTTAACCATAAATCAGTGGCCTTTAATGGATATTTACAAGGTTGTATTGAGTGCTCTTTAAATGTTTGGTACAATTTACTTTTGCAGCCTATGCATTTCAACATTTATTTTGAGGGGGGTTTTTATTTACTGATTGAATTTTCTTGCTCAGACTTCCTATTTCTGATTTAGTGTAGGTTAAGTGTTTCTTGGAATTTATCCATTTCATGAAAGTTATGTAATTTGTTGGTGTAGAACTGTTCATAGGAGTTTCATGTTTTGGGGGCTTTTTTTGTTTGTTTTTTTGGTTTTCATTGTCATGTCTCCTTTATCATTTTTAAGTGTAGTTATTTGATTCATTTTTTTTTTTTTGGCAAGCTAGAGGTCTCTCAAAATTTTTTTATTTTCAAATAAATAACTCTTTTCTAGCCAATGTGACTCAGTAGTTGAACGTTGACCTATGAACTAAGAGGTCACAGTACAATTCCCTCAGGGCACATGCCCAGGTTGTGGGCTCGATCCCCAGTAAGGGGGGTGCAGGCGGCAGCCAATTGATGATTCTCTCTCATCACTGATGTTTCTCTCTCCCACTCCCTTCCTCTCTCTGAAATCAATATAAACGTATTTTTTAAAAAATTTAACTCTCAAACAACCTTAGTATTTGAGTAGAAACTGTTCTTCCTTTCCCTTTTCTCCGCTATCACATTACAAAAGCCAAGGATAAAATTACTCATTTACCAAACCACTTTTCAAATTCTCAGTATTAAAGTAAGATTTTAAAGATCTGTA